TATTTTCCTTCGACGAAACCTAGCATTATTATCGCTAAGTTTTAGTCTAATATTTATTGTCTACTTTCATGATTTATCAAGTAAGGAACAACCAGGTAGGATCATATTGAAGGTAGGGTCCGTTTGGTATACGAAGTATACTGTTTGGAAATCCCATTTTAAACACCTCACTAAATCACAGCCTAAACATCATCCCCGTAAGTAGATCAATCAATATAATGACTTTGAATCACTGATAAATCTTATTTATAGGTCATAATAATGATATTATATTTAAATATAAGCTATATTTAAAGTATGGTAGCTTATTTCACTTACAACGAGTTTTATTAAAAATCGGACTCTGTTGGAGCATAGTTTCTTAGTCGAAAAGCTCTTTTTCTCGGAGCCTTTGTGCGCTCCGGGGCTTTCTTCTAGCTCTAGGGAAGTTTCCTAGGAGTTAGGGGGTTTAGGGAGTCTAGAAGAAGTTAGAGAGAGAAAGAAATGCTAATGGTGTGAAGAAAATATGAAGAGTTCATCTCTTATTTATTGGGGATTTATTGTAGAGTATACCATAAGTTTAGTCTGTATCTTCCGTGTAAGAGCTCCATTTTATACGTTCTTTATATCCACGCGTTGGTATTTATGAGTACTACAACTTTCATTTAGACCCCGTCGGCTAATTCTCATTCTATTTCAAATTTACAAAACTGTATTCGAATTCGCCGCGCTTCAAGAGTAGAGACTAAGTTTAGTCCATATCTTTAACATACAGGCTCTATTCTCGACGTTATTTATATCCAATATTGGTATTTATGATTACTACAACTTTCATTTAGACTCCATGGACTAATTCTCATTCTATCTTAGATTCACAAAACTGTATGAATTCACGCGCTTGAAGAGTAGAGACTAAGTTTCGTCCATATCTTTTGTATACGAGCTCCGTTTTCGACTGTCTTTTTGTCGTTGAGATCCTATTAATGAGATCTTAAATTCTTGTTTAGACTATTTTGGTTAAAAACCGACCGATTTAAAATTCGAATTTCGAGTTGTGCACTGCTATGCTAAATCTTAGAAAAATCATAATTTCCTCATATGAAGTCAGATTTGGACATTTTTTTATGCACACTCTCGGTTTAACATATACTACGACTTTTGTTTAGATCTCTAAGGCTAGAAAGTATTTTTATCGTAAATTCACTTTTTACGATTCCCGGTGTCATGCTGGTTTTGCCGTAAAACTTCGACATGTCATAACTTCTTAATTATAACTCGGATTTCGGCGTTCTTTATATGTACGGAACCTTTGTGACATGTAATATAATTTGGTTAAGATTATTTATTATAAATAATCTTCTATCAAAAAGTCATTTTTGACGCTCATTGTCTCTAAACTGACTAGCCCGAATTTGCAAGCGTTACAATGCATCTTGGTTTTCCAAGATTGATCTTTGGTCGGGGGTACCACCAGATGAGGATTCGGGATGAGGATATACCGAAGAAAACTTTCAGGACTTGGTATGGGCATTAAAAGTTTGTGGTGATGTCGTTTGGGCTCACCAATGCCCAACCATCGTTTATGGATCTCATGAACAAGGTATGTAGACCGATGTTGGATCGGTCGGTTATCGTTTTTATTGATGATATCCTGGTCTATTCTAAGACTAGGGAGCAGCATGATCAGCATTTGAGAGAGGTATTGGAGACCCTGAGGGCGGAGAGGTTGTATGCTAAGTTCTCTAAGTGTGATTTTTGGCTACGAGAGGTACAAATTTTGGGGCACATCATCAACCAGGAGGGCATTTCGGTTGATCCAGCTAAGGTTGAGGCAGTGATGTGGTGGAAAGTAACAAAGAATGCATCAAAGATATCCAGGATTTCTCCAAGATTGTTTTGTCATTGACCCGCTTGACTAAGAAGAATGTGAAATTTGGGTGGGGCACGAATCAACAGTTGGCTTTTGAGACCTTAAGATGAAGGTTATGCGAAGCTCCGATCCTGGTACTACCCGAGGGGTTAGACGACTTGGTGGTGTATTGTGACGCATCGATTTCAGGGTTAGTCGGAAGTGTAGATCACGCTTATGTTGGGATGAAGTGGGGGACACTTAGCTAGAAAAGGGACAAGTCCCAAATAGCACCCTCACTGATCCTGAAATCATAAGGGAAACCACGAAAAAGATCATTCAAATACGAGAAAGACTGAAAGCATTTCGTGACTGAAAAAAGAGTTACGCTGATAAGCGACTGTTAGGTGTGTCAAACCCAACAAATAAGGGGTACGATATACTCCAAAATAATCCCACTATATTGCACTAAAAGGGTAGTACAAGGTAAGCAGGGTCGATCCACAGAGACACAGGACAATTAGTCTATACCTCTTTGCACAAGGTACTATAGTCACCAATAGTAAAAAGAGAGGGGGTTTTAGAATGTAATGATTAAACAAATAATTAAAAACATAAGCAGTCAATTAAGTGCGTGAATTAAGTTCAGAATTTGTGAGGACTCCAACCCCATGTATGACAATTTAGCAATGTGACTCCAAGATGACACAATATTCGTTCAATTCTATCTAAGTTGGTACTTGAAAGTGCTAATAAGCTCTAACACTTCCCATTCACCATATTAATTAACCAAAACAAGCTCTTTGATTAATCCTAACCTTATTAACCTAATCTAAACAAGCTCTTAGGATTAGATTATAAGATTGCATGAAGCTTTATGTGAATGTTCCCAACAACACCCAATACTCCTCATAAGCTCGGGAGTGTAAAAGTGTATGAATAAGATTTACACTAAATTCATTCAATAGAGATCAATTTAATGCTTGTTACTTGTTCAATTTCACAAAACAATTACGGATTTTGTAAAAGAGATAACTTGAATGACCTAACCCTAATTCAAATGGCCAATAAGAATCATAATTAGAATCAAACATTCGATTGAAGCAAAATCAAATTCATTAAATAGAAATTAAGAACAAACATCATGTCATATGAATGAAGTCACTACCAAGAAGTCAAAACATGAAATTGGAGAAATTAGGGTTCTAGCCACACATGGCTAGAACAAGATCACAAGAATAAAAGATGGAATTAAAGTGCAATTACAACTTACAAATACTAGAAATAATGTTTCCAAATGATTGCTAATCAAACCCTTGCAAAAACCTTTGAAAATCCTCCTCCAATGGTGCTCTGTATGTTCTTTTCTTCTAAAAATGACCCTTAACCCGTAATATGAAAGATAGGAAAAACTGCCAAAAGTTGGTTTCTGGGTCGAACACGGCCCGTGTTAAAATAGGCTAAACTGACACGGGTCGTGTTCAGCAACACGCCCCGTGTTGATTTGCACTAAACTGACACGGGTCGTGTTCAGCATGGTCAACAGCTCCCATTTTGGTCAAACACGCCCCGTGCCCACTTTTCAGTGTAAATTCAACACGCCCCGTGTACCTCTCTGACTCCAATTCCAAATTTGATTTTTCCAACTTTTTAGTTCTTCGCCGGATCGTCCCGAAATCTCCACCAATGCTTCCCGACACTTCCCAAAGCGCGTTCCAACCTCCGGTTTACCTGAAAAAGATATAAAAGTGTGCAAATAAGGTTGTTCTAGAGACTAAAATGAATATGATAAAATGCAAGGAAAAGGAAGAACAATTTTGCTAAATATATGCATAAAATGGGACTAAAAGGTGCACAAATAGCACCTAACAAATCTCCCCAAGCTTAGACCTTTCTTGTCCTCAAGAAAGAACAAGAACCGGACAACAGGACGATTTCTAGATGGCAAAAAGAAAAACTTAGAACGAAAAGGGGATGAAGGATCCTAAAGGTTAAGAATGAATGCATGCAATGCAATGCCATGAAAATATGTTCAAATGCACCTGAGAAACAAAATGAAGCAAAAGAAAAGAAAATTAAGAACAAACACAAAATATGTACTTTTGTAACTAAATAAAGGTACGATCAGACTTTACATCAATAGGGCTTCGATCATTGATACCTTGGCAACCATCCTGTTTCCTTCCACATATCACAGACTCTCAATGTGAGGAAGACCCGAAACGGTGTAACCCAATAATCCAACCAAAGTTTTATTTAATCTTTATACCTTACTAAGCTTTATGGGCGAAAATAACATAGTCCGGATTTCATGTCCTTAAGACTAAATGGCCAAGAATCAGAATCGACGCCTCCTTAAGAACCCGTCACGGCGAATCAGCTTTCGCTGAAACAGTGAGCCCACCCGAAGGGGCTCAGCTCCTATGCTTTCACTTTTTCGAGAGCCACAAGTATCATATCACACAGTTCTTCATTCGCCATATTTGACTTGAGTTGGCTTTTGATTTGATTGAGCTTTGATTTGTACTTCGTTTTGAATTTGGATTCTTCAATCTTCATCTTTGGAATTTCTTTAGATTTCTTCGTTTTGGTATTTGAAATTCTGATTGGGGTACTGGATATGACAGTTGTACCCTTCCTTCATTCTCGACTGTGTGGGTCTGATACATAAGCTCTCTGTTACCGCGGGGGTAACGCGTGTCAACAAATAGGTCCGTGTTCTGTGGGTTCAGAGTTGCCGATAAAGATTCTTTTTAAACATTCAAAAGCAAATCATCCTAAAGCTGTTATTACCGCCCAAAAAACGTTTCAATATAATTTTTTTTATTATCTGAGGGTAGGGTCTCGAATTACGATATTTGGGTCCCCTAGTTATGACAGCTGATTCTATGCTTCCGGTAACAATCCGGTTGCTTCGGTATTTTTCATTTCATGGAGCAATTGTATGTAAAGAGTGTCATCATCTCGTACATTTTTTTTTTTTTTTTGAAGCAAAATCAAATGAATGAAAATTTGAAAATAAGAGAAAATTTGAAAATAAGAAAATTTGAAAAATTGAAAATAAGAAAATGAAAATGCATGCATGAGAACGAGCGAACCTAAAATACAAGTCTACCCCTCCCCAAGCTTAAAGATAAGCATCGTCCCCGATGCTTGGAGAGGGTGGAACAACCTAAAACGGAGGTGGAGGAGGAGGATAGTAGCTGGGGTTTCGGGTCCAAGCCCAGAAGTCCTCCTCATGTTTGCGTTGACGCTCTTGATCCCGAGCGTACTGGGTGGTGAAGGTGGAAAAATTCTGGGTCAGGCTGGTAATATCCTGCTGATAGGTGTCGAGGCGGGTATGGATTGATTGGAATTCGTCCATATATTGTTGATGATAAGGCGGGGGTGCAGCAAAACGGGATGAGCTGCCACCACCGGCGGGAGAAGCATGGTGAGGCTCCTCCTCTCTTCATCATCATCACCTCTTCCTCGTTTTCTTCGCTTTGCTCATCGACCTCGGTGGAATAAGAGTGGGGGAAGATGTATGGAATGATTTGCCAATCAGTCATATGAATGGGATTTCGGAAATCAAGAATGCCTTTATTTTCTGGTGTGATGAGGAGCTTGGGATCATGATTTTGACCCACGGTCCAGTGGTGTGTACCATCGCCTGCCGAGCGGAAGAGTCGCATGGACTCAAGGATAGCAGTGGTGAGATAAGGCTCACCCGGCAGTGGCTGGTGGGGACCGGGTATGGGGCTCGGATGTGGGCGCTCTTGGCGAGCATGCTGACAATACCCCCGCAAACAATCTTTCCTGATCGGGATGCGCTAAGGCGGATGAGCTTGTGGCACAGAAACCGACCATAATGAGGAATGAGGTTATTCTCGGGATGGGTCATTGCATAAAGGATTTTAAGTTCCAGCGCGCTAATGGTGCTTCGCTCCTCTCTAGGGGCGACGAGCGAAGCAATGATTCTGTGAGCTACCTTAATCACAGGATGGATAAGTGATGAGGCTTTAGCAGCGCTAGAGACATATGGATGTAATTGGGTGAGCTGGGTCCACCAAGTCATGTCATAGTATCCTTGGATTGGATCAGTGGGGCCAAATGTGTTTTCCGTTGGGGCCCCCACAATGGCATTGATTTGATCCAAGGAGATCTCATAGTCTTGATTCATTAGACGGAAGTAGAGGATCCCATGATCTAAATAAACTGAGGATAGAAACTCAGCAGTTGGGACTTTATAGCTCAATTCATGGACCCTCAACAAGCCGTGCCACCCTATGTTGCGAAACAGGGTTTTGACTTGATTGTAAACATGCAACTCTTTCAAAGTTGGAACATGCGCGAATTTTTGGATGGCATGACCTCGTTTAAGGAATGACTCAAGTTTGCCCTGTTGAACTGGGCCAAGACATACGACACCAAAATGAGACGGGTCGGCTGGGGGTGTTGGGGACCTAGATGGAGGTGAGGGAGATCTAGATGGAGGTGATGGAGATCTAGGCTTCCGACGGCGGGCGGATGATTTGGTTTGTCTTGGTCTTTTGGAAGATGTAGCTTCCATAGTCAAGTTTGGGACAGATTAAAAGTCAACGGGTCAAAATGTCAAAAAGTCAACTGTTGACGGGTCCAGTCAACTTTGAACTTGGCCACCAAAATTTCGCGGGAAATTTGGTTTTCAAAGATTTCCAACTAAGAATCAAGTCCAAATAGACCACACTTTCAAGTATTTGACTCAAGAACACAAAATTCAAAGGTTAGGAGTTGGAAAGAATTTACCGAATCGTGTGTTGGATCGTGTTGTTCTTGATGGAAAAGATCTTCGTTAACCTCCCCAAGCTTGCTCCTTTCAAGATTGAGACACTAAAACACCAAAATCAAGTGAGAATTTTCGGATCTAGGGTTTGTCAAAACCCCCAAATCCACCATTAAAATGCAAGAAAATGGTGTTTAAGATGGAGAAGATGAAGTGTAGATGATGAAAATCAAACCTTTTTGTAGATGAAAGTCAAAATCTTGAAGAAATTGAAAGGTATTTGATGAAAATCGGACCTAAGGTTTTTGTTGGGAGAGAGGGGTTGTTAGGAAGTGAAAGTGGGGATAAATGAGGTCAAATCCCGATTTTTTTCTTTAAAAAGGGCCTGAACTGCTGCGCGAACACGACCCGTGTCTCCCCAGGCTAAATTGACACGCCCCGTGTTGGGGGTTTATGCTGTTATGACGAACACGACCCGTGTTGGGTCAAGGCCAAAAAAACACGACCCGTGTTGCTCTCTGGAAAAATTTGGGACTTTTTTTTGACTAACACGACCCGTGTCATTTGCAGGCCAAAATGGGACACGACCCGTGTTGCTCTCTGGAAGATTTTGGGACTTTTTTCATAACACGACCCGTGTCATTTGCAGGCCAAAATGGGACACGACCCGTGTTGCTCTCTGGAAGATTTTGGCACTTTTTTGCATGAACACGGCCCGTGTTTCATTAAGGCTAAGAGGGACACGACCCGTGTTGGTCCCTGGATGCTAATCCTCACTTTTTGAACTTGAAAATTCCCTCTCTTAGAAATGAAATACTTTTGCATTCCTAGGTCCGTTTGGTGATTTTAAATCATGATTGAATGCATTTGGAACATTGAAAACCAAAAACTCAAAGAAATGAAATTGTTTTTAAGTAAAAGACAGAAATACCCCCGGGTTGTCTCCCGGTTAGCCGCCCTTGTTTTAAGTCGTTGGCTCGACTTTGTCCCCCAGGCGTGATTCATTCTTGGTATGTGGGGTTCTCCAACTCTTCTACCTCTTCATTCTTCACCTCAAATCCCTCATAAAACGGCTTCAACCTGTGACCATTGACTTTGAATGTTTTACCCGTTTGCTTGCTCGTGACTTCCACTGCACCATGGTCAAACACCCTTGTGACTACGAAAGGACCGACCCATCTTGATCTTAACTTTCCTGAAATTAGCTTGAATCTCGAGTGATAAAGCAACACCTTTTGTCCTTGTATAAAGGTCTTTCGGGAAATTGCTCTGTCATGATATGCTTTTGTTTTCTCCTTATAGATCATGCTACTTTCGTATGCATCATTCCGAATCTCTTCTAGCTCTTGGATATCCAGTTTCCTTTTATGTCCCACCTCATCTTCAGTCATGTTGAATTTCTTTACCGCCCAAAAAGCTTTATGCTCAAGCTCAACTGGGAGATGACATGCTTTACCAAACACAAGCCGATATGGGGACATACCAATTGGAGTCTTAAAAGCAGTACGGTATGCCCATAAGGCATCATCTAGCCTTAAGCTCCAGTCTTTGCGGTTTGGATTGACTGTTTTCTCCAAGATACTTTTGATTTGTCTGTTGGAAACTTCTGCTTGTCCATTGGTTTGGGGATGGTAAGCCGTTGAGACTTTGTGTGTCACTCCATATCTCTTCAAAACAGCTTCTAGCATCCGATTGCAAAAATGGGTCCCGCGGTCACTTATGAGCGCCTTTGGTGTGCCAAACCGTGAGAAAATCTGTACCTTAAGGAAATCAACCACAACTTTTGAATCATTAGTACGGGTGGCCTTAGCCTCCACCCATTTGGACACATAGTCCACTGCTAACAAAATATAAGAGCAACCAAAAGATGATGGAAATGGTCCCATAAAGTCAATGCCCCATACATCAAAAATTTCACATACTAGAATAGGGGTAAGGGGCATTTGATTTCTAGAGCTTAAGGACCCGGATTTTTGGCATCTTTCACAATGTGCACAAAGTACATAGGAATCATGAAAATAGAAGGCCAAAAGAATCCGCTATCTAAAACTTTCCTAGCTGTCCTTTGGGGTCCAAAGTGACCACCACAAGCATAGGAATGACAAAAATTAAGGATAGATTGTACCTCTTTTTGCTCAACACACCTGCGAATTACTTGGTCCGCACAGTACTTCCAAAGGTAAGGTTCATCCCATATGTATCGTTTGGCTTCTTTTTTGATTTTGTCTCTTTGCCAACGGGATGAATCTGGGGGAAATTGACTTGTGACCAAGTAGTTGACGATATCTGCATACCATGGTGCCTCTTTGGCTGAAAATAGATTCTCATCCGGAAATGTGTCACAGATGGGTTTACCATCTTCGGGTGATACGATGCGACTTAGATGATCCGCAACCAGATTTTCCTTTCCACTCTTGTCTTTGATCTCAATATCAAACTCTTGCAAAAGCAACATCCACCGTATTAACCTCGGCTTTGAGTCTTTCTTTGTAAGCAAGTGTTTTATGGCTGCATGGTCCGAATATATGATCACTTTAGTTCCAAGGAGGTATTGTCGAAACTTCTCCAAAGCAAAGACAATAGCAAGCAACTCTTTCTCTGTTGTGGTGTAGTTGCCTTGTGCCCTATCAAGGGTCTTTGATGCATAGTAGATGACATGATGTGCTCGATCAACCTTTTGTCCCAAAACTGCCCCAACCGCGGTATTGCTAGCATCGCACATGATTTCGAATGGAAGATCCCAATTTGGCGGTTGAATAATGGGGGCGGATGTCAACAAATCTTTCAAAAGATCAAATGCCTTTTTGCATTCATCACCAAACTCAAAATCAGCCTCCTTTTGTAGAAGTTGACACATCGGTACCGTAATCTTGGAAAAATCCTTTATAAACCGCCGATAAAAACCTGCATGGCCAAGAAAAGAACGTACTTCCCGAACATTTGTCGGGTATGGTAAGCTCTTAATAATATCTGTTTTGGCCTTGTCAACTTCTAAACCTTTCTGGGACACCACATGTCCAAGTATCAAGCCCTTGTCGACCATAAAATGGCATTTTTCATAATTAAGGACTAAGTTCGTGTCAATGCACCTTTGTAAGATTTTGGTGAGATTTTGCAAACATTCATTAAAAGAGTTTCCATAAATAGTAAAATCGTCCATGAAAACCTCTATGATATTTTCAACATATTCTGAAAATATGCTCACCATACATCTTTGGAAGGTTGCGGGTGCATTGCACAAACCAAAGGGCATGCGTCTATACGCAAAGGTGCCGAAGGGACATGTGAATGTGGTTTTCTCTTGGTCTTCCGGGGCAACCGGAATTTGATGAAAACCAGAGAAACCATCAAGGCAGCAGTAATGGGATTTCCCGGCCAATCGTTCTAACATCTGATCAATGAATGGCAAAGGGAAGTGGTCTTTGCGGGTGGAAGCATTCAGCTTCCTATAATCGATACAAACTCTCCACCCGTTTTGCACACGGGTGGGTACCAATTCCCCTTCGGAGTTTTTGACAACGGTAACTCCAGCTTTTTTCGGGACTACTTGCACAGGACTCACCCACTTACTATCAGAAATAGGATAGATTACACCTGCATCCAAGAGCTTCATGATCTCCTTTTTGACCACCTCCATCATAGGTGGATTCAACCTCCTCTGTGCTTCACGGGTTGGCTTGAAGTCCTCTTCCATCAGTATTTTGTGCATGCATAATGATGGGCTCAACCCTTTTATATCCGCAATAGTCCAACCAATAGCCTCCTTGTATTTCTTCAAAATTCCAACTAACTCTTTTTCTTCTTCTCGTGCCAGCTTAGTCGAAATTATCACCGGTAGTGTCTCTTCCTCTCCAAGATAGACATACTTGAGATGGTCGGGAAGAGCCTTCAACTCAAGAGTCGGCGGCTGTACTATGGATGGGAGAAGTTTCGGATTAGAACTTTTTAGCTTCATGCGGGGTGGTTCAACTCTCATTGGTTGTGCTTTCTCCAAGGAATCAATTACTTCGATCAATTCGTCTTCCAATGTGTACTTGTCAGCCAACTCTTTAATCCCTATCTCATCAAAGTGTTTGCTCAAGATGGTGGTTAGCACATCTTGGCTTGACATCTCAAAGCAATCATTAGTACATGAATCAATAACATCTATGAAGTTTAAAGAATGAATATCGCTAGGATAACGCATAGCTTCAAAGATATTAAAGTTAATTACCTCACCATCGAATTCCATTGACAAAGTACCATTGGCTACATCTATTTTTGTTTTTGCGGTACTCATAAAGGGTCTCCCCAAAAGGATGGAGCTCGATTGTGGGGTGTTTTCATCACCCATGTCTAAAACATAAAAATCAGCGGGAAAAACGAGCTCATTAACTTGCACTAACACGTCCTCCAATACACCTTTCGGATGTACCAAAGACCGATCAGCAAGTTGAATGATAACTCCGGTTTTTGATAAAGGTCCAATTCCCATTGACTTATAACTTGAATAAGGTAAAACATTAATTGAGGCTCCAAGATCAAGCATGGCACGTGGTACAAAAAGGTTACCCATTTTGCAAGGAACCGTGAAAACACCCGGATCCTTGCATTTTTTTGGTAGCCGTTTTTGTAACACGGCTGAGACATTTTCACCAACCTTCACGGTTTGATTTCCTTTAAGCTTTTTCTTAGATGTGCAAAGTTCCTTAAGGAACTTAGCATATCTAGGAATTTGTGTAATGGCATCTAGAAGAGGGATATTGATTTCAACCTTTCGAAACATGGCCATGATTTCGTCATCTTCCCTTTCTCTTTTGGTGCTTGCC